TATATATATATATATATAGCCTATGTATAGCAATTATTTATATCATACATAAGTTTTGATTATACAAAATTTTTTACATTTTTTTTATAGTTTACCGAAAGTTTGCGGTTTCCATAATTGTGAATTGTTAAAACACAAGAAGTAATACATTCCCCCGCCCCACACATAATTGGAAAATTTTCCATTATAAGCTGATTTTTTTTACAGTGTTCTGTAATTATTAACGAATAAAATACACAAGTATTGAAACGAAAATTGTATATTGCTTTTTCTCAATTCTCAGAATTTTATAAGGATAAGTTAAGATCCCAACTAAAACTTGACTACTGAATCTAAATATACAAAGCAAAGCTCAAGGCAATACCGAAAAAGAAATTCAAATATTACATTCTATATTTTCATCCTAGAATACTTCTCTTATTCGAAACGGCTATATAATGGCGCGCTGAGAAGGAGAGAAGGAAACTGCTTTACCGGTTATAACCGGTTCGGCCTACAGTCTTGGTTGGCTTCAGCTAAACTGAACCGGTTCAAGCCAGAGTATCAAAAGTTAACGCAAAAGATTGAAAATAAATACAAAAATTTGGTTTAAATGTTTTTTTTTTTTATAATTTTTTTTTTATTTATTTATAATGGTTGTTTTTTGTTTGTTGTTGTTTTTGTGTTGTTGCTTTAGGTATTATTTTAGTTTGTTTATTAATTGAAGTGTATATGCGTGTGTATGTGTGGGTGTGCGCTGATATATGAGCTATGAATATTCCAATGCAAATATATATACACAAATACAAGCGCACAAAGGCAAGTGGGAGAAGGTTGTGGTATATGTGTGAGTGAGCAATGAGCGGTGCATGCACGTTWCTGTGTGTGTGTGAGTTTGAGCATAAAATACATAAATAAACGCACACACACAGGCATACATGCACTGGCGCCACATGTTGAAAAAAAAATGTACTAAAAACTAAACAGGCAGAGCTTTAGCTGCCCTTAGCTAGCAATGAGTGTGAGAGAGACAGTGTGTGCGTGTATGTGTGAGTGTATGTGTGTCAGCTGATTATGTATGTATATTAATTGTATGTATGCATGTAAGCATGCTAGCAGGCCAAGCTTGAGCTGTCCTTGGGCTAGTCATGCATGTGAGCGAAAGGCAAAGGGAGAGAGCGAGAAACGGAGGGAGTGAAACAGTGTGTAACATAACTGTTAAGCTACAGTGCCTTAAAAAAGTGTGTAGATGTATGCATGTAAGTTAGCTTAGTTGCGTTTCCTCAAGGCCAGACGACTGCTGAGCGGACGCTTGAGCTTCGGCTCCTCTTCCTTCTGCTGCTGCTCCGATTCCTCGGCAGCGGTGTCCACCTCCGGCTCCGCCTTCACTGGCTTCGACGGCTTGCGACGATTGACTGCAAAAGTGAAGTTGATGTGAATGCAAAATTCGATTTGGGATTCAGCATCACTTACGTGCCGAATTGCTCTTGTAGCCGCCCTTGGCGTGGCCAGCGGCGGGTGCAGCCGGTGCCGGTGCCTGGGCGCTGGCAGCCTCATCATGGTCAGCGGGCTCCTCCTCGGTCTTCTTGGCAGCTGGCTTGCTGGCCGCCGGCTTCTCGTTGCGATGCTTCTTGGCGTTCTGCTGGCGGCGCTTCAGCGAATTGAGGAAATCATCGTTGGAGCGGAAGGGACGGATGACGGGGCCAACCTTTTTGGGCGGCTCCGTTGTGGTGGTCGTGGAGCTGGGGCCGCTCTCCTCCTGCTCATCGCCGTACTGGCTGCCAGCGCCGCCGGCACCCTCCTCATTATACTCATCCTCCTCGGCGCCATCGTCGTTGGCCGGCGCCGCTGTTGTCGTTGTCGTTGGCTTAGCCGCCTTGCCCACGGGGCGACGCAGTGCAGCGATTCTCTTTGCCGGCGAAACGTTGCCAGCACCCTCCTCCTGGGCGGCAACCAGGCCGTAGCACAGTGCGCAGATGATGAAAAGCAGGCAGCTATTGCAAAATAAAAGAGCAAAGTAAAATCAATTTAAGGTTATGTTGAAGATTTTAGGTTATGAGCACTATGCTTTTTAATGAAGATAGTTACTTTGATCATTACGATAAGTGAAAAAAAGCGATAAAAAAATGTATAGTATGAATTGAAGGTTTAGGGAAATAATATTGCTAATCTTACAGGTTATGTAGAAGTCTTACGAACAAATGGTTTTTGTTTTGTTGAATAAGAATAGCTCTAAAGAGTTGCAAAACTGAGGCTATATCCATATATTGTAGTTACATTTGCTATTCATAAAGGTCTTAGTAGAGCTCTAAACTGAAGGGGATAGGAAGAATAATAATTCCGGTTTTTTTATAGGCCTAGAGATTTTTGCTTTTCTTATGTATGCATGTTTGGCTACTGTAAGCCGGCTTGACTTAGCAACGTCGGCAGTATACGACTATCGCATACCCCTTCATTTATTTGATGTATGATACTAATTTATATACGATTGCGATCACAAATATATCGAAAATAGGAACTGATTAATGTTTATCAATTTTATAGGAAATCTTATGCAAATGTCATGAAAATTTTGAAATTTTTAAATACAAGGCTCAAAATCAAATCTCAGAATCGATACTTATCGATAAATGGTAAATATGGGAGATGAATAGATGGAAGAATGAAGTGACGAACAACTCGTTCAACAGATCAATAAAATATATAAGATGCCATCTTTTGTCTTTCGCCACGCACACCCATGAAACTAATATACCTTGCCATGGGAACAGAGTATATTATTTTTGCAAAGAAAAAAAAAAGTGAAATGAAATAAAAGCTCTGAGCTCGCTGTTCGAAATCCGAAATATGTTGCCCAACGAGCACGAGGCACAATACATGTACATATATAATATATAGATTTTATATGTAT